CTTCTTGATTGCATGCAGCTGATTCCAAATGTGTAAGCTATTTTCTTATGACTGTAAGTAATGCGATCAAGGGCCTTTTAGGAGCGTATGTGTGGGTTGAGTACATTCTTGTCCCCTATACAAATGTAACTAGATGGGGATTAGGCTGTTGGGTAGTATATATTGATGTGAAAACTAATCAAGATCTGTCCTGAGTTTGGTTGGTTTAGGCACTCAAACTATACCTAGGTTTTGGTTCCTTAGTGTAAATTTTGGGATGTCGGAACACGGTATCCAGTCAACACATGATACTTTTCTCCACATCCGCAAATCATACTTCCAGTTGCTTGTCCAGAAATATGCATTTTGAGAACACGGTCATCTTTTTGCATAATTTCATTTTTGGAGTATTTGAGAAAGGGCTAGCCAGTTATTTTGGTGTCAAGACCAGTGATGGGTAAACTTATGTTATTCAGAGATCTTTAACCTGTTGCGCCGTTCCTAAGTAGCCTACCCAGGCAACAGCCGGGTTAATTACGGTGCTGTTGGCAAGTGCTGGATAACCTCTGTTTGTTGAATTTGGACCCAAAGAAAAATAAATCCATAGGTTAACCTCTGCCTACTGAATTACGTGGTAGTCTGTCTATTCTGTAGATTTGGATTGGTGTTGGCTTCTGACCTAAATCCATTTTCCCTTGGTGCAACTCTGGTTCTCCATCAGTGTGGAACTGCCGTTTCTGTCCTATAAGTGTTTTCCCAAGGTGTTGTCATTGCTTTAGTGCTTATTTTCTGAATTTAGTTTTTCAGGCTAAATAAATATATTTTTGTTGTTGTTGAATCTACTTCTTTTTAGCTTACTTTTTCATGAAAATTTGCAGGATATAATTCTTTGGTTAACTAACAAATAGCAGACCCAATGAAGCTGCAACATTGGGCTGTGTTGCGGCATGTTTTCCTCGTCTTTTTGGTAATTTTTCTTCTCATCCTTCTAAATTTCTCATTATTATCACTTAATTAATACTTCATTACAAATATTCAAACTAAACTTTACTGTAGGTAATTGGCATGCTGGTACTGTCTGGTTTATTGATCGGTATCATCAAACATATCGAGCATAATGTAAGTTTAATCTCTAAAATTTACGGTTAATTATTTTGTTAATTAATTATTCATGTAATCTACATAATAATTAATTTATGTTACAAGAATTTTCGAGACGTTTCAGGTTCTTGCATTTGCTTACACAGAGAGTGGGCTAGTCAGATTTGTTCACAAGAACAGCAAAGTAGCATTCACACTCCTAATAGTGATGATTGCTATTATGGGAGGCTTCAGTGTGAGTTACATTTTCATAATGCTTAGTGCTGGGAAACGGGAGATGCTTCTTTGTGCCACACTCATAAAACAAATGGAGGCGACTCAACAAGCTGAGAGGAAGAGTATGAGGAAAAGTCTTGCGTTTGCTTCTGCAAGCCATGATGTTCGGGCTGCTCTCGCCGGCATTACCGGTTTGATCGAGATATCTTACGATGAAGTAGCCCGAGGTTCAGAACTAGAGACGAATTTGAGACAAATGGAAGCTTGTACGAAGGACCTTTTAGGTAAGTTATATTGCTAAAGATAGTGATTAACTGGTATTGGGTACTAATGTACTTTACATTGTCGATATTTAATTGATAGTTGATAGGTCAGCCACCACCCCAACCTCCAAAACCACATTTATTCCTCTTCCCATAATTTTGTTTTGTGTTTGCTGTTTATTTATTTCTCTCATGTTTGAGATTTTGGTTTAGGTGCTTGTGAATTTCAAGTGGTGACTGGGTGTGGGATTTTGGTTTCTGGATACTCTGTTGGGATGGTTGTGGCTGGGGCTAGATCGGATTGGTGGAGCTGGGTGGCGGGGCTTGAGGTTGTGTATAGCTGGGCATCGAAGGTGGCAGGTGGGGTGGGAGTTTTCTCAATGTTTATTTGGAACATGGGGGAGGAGAAATCAGAGTAGTGAGATGGGTGGAGGGGGAATGGTGGCCACAGGTTGGGGATGGCAGTTGGCGGTGGAAAAGGGTTGGGTTGTGGTGGGACTGGGGGCGGTGGGGGAATTGGTGCTGGGTTTGTTGTCGGTCCTAGGGCTGTTTTTTCCTTTTAAATAGTCTTATTTTATTATTAAAAGGATTTTTATTGAATTTTAACACAAGTATATTTATTTTATCAATTTTAAATGAATTAACAATATTTTAATATTAGCCCCTTGGCACATGTGCCAATTGGTTTTATTTTTTATTTTTTATTTTATTTTAAGAATAAAGAAAATATAACATAGGATAGTTATGTTCCATAAAAGTAGGACCTATTATCTGATTTTGTTTTTTAATTTTAATTTTTTAATATGAAAAAATTGTGAATTTACCATATTATCCTCATTTAATTAATAATTTCAATTCTTAATGTTTGAATTAACCAACGGCATTTTCTGGTATTTTGAATCTTTCTACATTCTCTGCCTTTTCTCAATTGTTAATAAATTAATCCTTCTACACATTTTTTTTACTGAGTATCCTGCTATACATTTTGATATATCAGTTTGAGTACTTGTTATATAGGTATATTGAACTCTATTCTTGATACAAGCAAAATTGAAGCTGGTAAGATGCAACTTGTGGAAGAGGAATTTGATGTGGCCCAGCTACTTGAAGATGTAGTTGATTTGTATCATCCTGTGGGTTTAAAAAAAGGCATAGATGTGGTGTTGGATCCTTATGATGGCTCTGTTATGAAGTTTGCACGAGTTACAGGCGATGGGGGAAGGCTTAAGCAGATATTGTGCAACTTATTAAGCAATGCTATTAAATTTACTTCAGAGGGGCATGTGACAGTTCGTGCTTGGGTCGAAAGACCCGATTTCAAGAATTCTGTAACTGCAAATTCTGTCCGGAGCGGTGCCGTGTGGAAAAATTTGCTATGCTTTCTATCAAACAAGAAGAAATCACGAGATGTTGACATGGAAGTAATGAATGGGGTCCAGCAAGATCCAAATTGTCTGGAATTTATTTTTGAGGTGGATGATACTGGGAAGGGAATCCCCAAGGAGAAGCAAAAAGCAGTGTTTGAAAACTATGTACAAGTCAAAGAAACAGCTCTTGGAGAAGGAGGTACTGGCTTGGGACTTGGTATTGTTCAATCTCTGGTAAGTAATAAAATATAAACTTGTTTAAGAATTTCTTGAATTTAAGGCATGCGTTAAATTTGATATTTTTGTTTGCACTAGGTACGTTTGATGCATGGCGAAATAACAATTGTGGACAAAGATATTGGGGAAAGAGGGACTTGCTTCAGGTTTAATGTTCTTCTAAGTAATGTATGTGAGAATGTCTACAAGGATAGAAGAAAAGAAGAAGACCTTGAATTGGGAATAGCTGCCATTCACAGTGCTCCTACTCCCGGTACTCCCGGGCTGACCACTCGTGCCCCGAGCCCTAAGGTAGAGGGATCTAACGTTGTACTGCTGATAAAAAATGAAGAGCGTCGAAGAATGGTGTACAAGTTCATGGAGAGTATTGGGATAAAAGCATGGATGGTAGAACAATGGGAACAACTTCGTCCTACTCTCAAGAAGATAAAACACAAGGGGAAAAGGTACTATTCTCATCACCATAGTTCTTCAGTAATATCTGATTTGGGTTTGCAAGATTGCTTGAACAAATCCACATCATGCAACTCTAGCTTTAGATTGAAGGAGGTGCACCCTTTGATGGGTGCAATGGATGGAACAGAAAACATAATCTCTCTCTTTAAGAAGAATAGCACAAATCTTCGTGGCACATCGTCATGCTTTACATTGCTAGTGATTGATACTACAGCTGGACCATTTGAGGAGTTATGTAACATTGTAGCTGAATTCCAAAAAAGCCTTCAAAATGCTTGGTGCAAGGTTGTTTGGTTGGCAAATCCATTGGTACAAAGAAACATTAACTATGACAGCCTTGATCCAGACGACGTTGTCAAACACAAGGCGCTTCACGGCACCCGTCTATATGAAGTGGTAAGACTTCTTCCAGAGTATGGAGGTTCACTGCCAAAGAGATTAGGGGGCACATTTGATGTTGGAAAAGTCTCCAGAGCCCCTAGTTCATCAAGATACCAGTTTCACACCGACCGTGAATTTGAAACCTTGTCTTCACCAACGCAAAATCATAAGTCTCACAATGTTAGCTGCAAAGCAAGAGACCTAGCAGTTGATCATGGCCGCCCACTTCCACAAAGAGAAACAGAAGGACCTGATAAGCCAAGCAGGCCTTTGGTTGGGAAGAAGTTTCTGGTTGCTGAGGACCAAAAAGCCCTAGCTCAGATTGCTATGAAAACTCTTACACATTGGGGTGCAACTGTGAAGCTTTGTGGAAATGGAGGAGAAGCCCTAGACCAAGTTCGCAATGATCTAGTCACCCATACGAAACATGGATATGATTATATATTAATGGACTGCCAGGTAAATACTCTTATTAATATCAAACTATATAAGTAATCAATTCTCTCCCATATTATATTCTAACAGTTCCGACGTCGTTTTGGTGTCCAAACAGATGCCAATAATGGATGGATTTGAAGCAGCAAGAGGGATAAGGAAAGAGGAGAAATCTTACGACGTTCACATTCCGATCATTGCATTAACTTCTCATGAACAAGGCGAGGAAACAAGAAGGATGATTGAGGCTGGCATGGACCACCATTTAACCAAACCCTTGAAATTGGATCGTCTACTTGAAACAATTAGATACATTGACAGCAATGCTACTATATAAAATAATTTTACTTTCACTACGCCAAATTTCACTTTTAGCAACACTACATAGGCATCGGTAAAACTGAAAATCGATGCTATTAGTACATTAGGCATCGATTTTGTAAATAACGATGCTAAACAATTACAAAGACATTAGTTCGAATATTTGGTTTTTTATGACGATGCCCTTGATTCCCTTTTAGCATCATCTCTCATAATCACAGATGCCTAAAGCGATTTGCCTATTTTTTTTTTTAAAAGCCTCAGATGCCTAAGGGGTAGTCAACGCTAGTCCAACAAATTTCACGCTCTCCCTCTCAAACTCTCGCCCTAACTTCCATATCCCTCTCAATTTTTTCAGTCCCCTCTTCCTCTCAGTCCCTCTCAAACTCTCTCTCTTTCTTCTTTCTCCTCCATCAAGCCAATCTGAGTTTGGATCTCGTTTTTCTTCCTATATGTTCTTATAAATGTTAAATCTGCTTCTTCACATTTCATGCTCAAAGAAAAAGCAGATATCTGGGATTTGGGTTGACACAGAGATGGCCAAAAGATTGAGCTCACAGCTCTTCGTCAGCAGTATTCTCTCTTTCCCTTTCTTTCTCTCAAATCTATTTTTAGGGTTTTTTTTTTGTTTAAAACGCTTGTTTTGATTCTTGGGTTTATTGCTTAGGATTATCATCGTTCACTAATAATGAACAACCCAAGAGACTGTTTTCTCCTTTTGGAGATGTTACAGATGGTATTTCTACTTTTCTTATTAATTTGCTCTGATTAATTATTTATTTTCTTCTGTAATTTGTGGAAATTATTGACTGGTTTTCACCTTTGTGATGATTTTCTCTATCCAAAACCACACTCTGCAGCAATGGCAAAAGACCCAGTTCGAGTTCTTGTCACTGGTGCTGCTGGTATGGTCATTCTTTCAAAATTTACTTCCTTTTCAGTATTATTTTCACTGTTTGGTTGGCTTGAATGAAAATGTGGATGAAGAGAAGAATTTCAAGTTTTTTTGTTGTTGTTATGAGATCAATAAAATTGTTGTTATGTTGAGATGAATTCTTCAACAAGCATGGATTTGAGATTGTTATTTTTATTAATTTTTTGTGTTCCTTGGTTTAGGAGGAGACCAAACAGAGGGTTTGGTTATGTTCTTTGGAATAATTTGATATGTTCTGTATTTCTAAGTATCTTGTGGACTTTGTTTTGGCATCTGATTGCCTTGTTCTGGAAGTGCCCTGTAGATTCTTTGTTTCAATCATGGTACTCTTACACCTATATAAAAACATAGGATTGGATTGTCTTGATTTTAACAGGAATTGTTTGTTGCATCTGTCTGTTTTTGAGAAAATGGAGAATATTGTTGTTTTTCAGAAAATCTTGGTTGTTCTGTTCACTATTGCCTTCTTTTGGAAGCTTATAAAATACATGTGGAGCTTCTTGAGCATGGAGAAGGAGCCTGTGACTGTATTGGTTACTGGTGCTGCAGGCATGCTCAAATCAATCCTTTTATTTCTTCCCCATCCCCACCTGTTTTAAAATAAAAATAAATAAAAAATTACAACTTCATTTTCTTATAATGGTTCGATTCAAAATTCAGATGCCATGTATTGTCACTGCCACAAAACCATCTTGGAATATTTCCTGAATTTTTAAGCTCATGATATCCAATTTTATGATTTGAAATATTGGGCTAAGTATCTAAGTATTTGTCTGTCAACATAAACTTGGATCCGTTTCTGCAAGAAAAGCTAAAGAGAATTGTCCCTCCCTCCCTCCCTCCCTCCACTTGAGCTCCCAATTACAATTAAAGTTAGTGCTGTGGACGACAATCCTCGTAACTTCACTCACTCTCACATATATTGTTCTCTAAAATTATTGGCTTCATTTCTCATCCTGTCACTGCCAGGAATATTTTTTTATGCCTGTTTGTACCCTCCTTTTTCAGTTTTAACTCTATTGTTTATTTCATTCTTGTCTCTATATCTTCCAAGTTCCACACACAAACAAAATTGGCATAGAGAGAAAATTTCGAATCTTCTACTTTTTCTTTTAATTAATGGGTGGTTTTGTAAATCTGTCAATATTTAGCCAAATCCATCAATAATTAATTCTGACTAGCTGTCACATAAACTTTACACTTATAATTTAGTCCTAAAAAGTTTGCAACCACATCTTTTAACACCTTTTAGACTTTTAATACTGCAGCTGCAAGAGAGTTCATTGGTTACTTACTTTACTTATGGGACTTTGTTGTTGCAGATAGGGAAGAACTAAAAAATTCTAGCTTACTATGCATCAGAGAATTAAGATTTTAATTACTATAATCTTTTGAGACTGCATAGAGTTGAAGTTGATGGGTGGCTTTTGCTGGTTTAATGATATATTGATTTTGAAATGAAACAGACTAAACTCATGTAAGCATAAATCATGTGACTTGTAGAATGCTTGAGATGAGAGTACATGTATTTTGAAGCTGCAATCCAACTTGTACACTTTCTACACAAGACTTCTAAACTGCCCTGCTGGTCCCAAGCTCAAAATCAACTGCTATGTTGCCTAGATTGTTCAATATCACATGCGCATTTTCACATACTCTTCGGTGCACTGAATGAGAGGAAATAACTGGTCAACTTTGAAAGGCATTCATGGCTGCTTTTTTTTGTTTTTTCTTTGCATCCTTTGCAAGTTTACTTCTAGCAGAAAAGTTTCTTATATCTATTCTAGCAGAAAAGTGTTTTCTTTGCATCCTTTGAAACCTTTGTTTGAATTATTATATTACTATGATATGCTTAGTAAGTTATAATGTGGTCCCTCCCTCCCCTGACTCAATTAAGCACTTATTTGTTTTTTGTTTTTTGTCTTGTTGCCATATCTGCTGTTCCATATGGATTTATTAGTCTAGACAAAGAGAAGCACAAAAGAAAATGGCCGATTAACAGGGCATTGTTGCATTTATAGTAGTAATGGTGATCTCTTCATTTTGTCATTTCTTCTCCCATTTGTAATCCTTGTCCTAAGATTTTCTGATTAGTCTCTCTTTTTAAGAGGATCTAAAGTTTCTGATTTTTGTGATCTCTTAATTCATTTTTATTTTTATTTTTATTTTTTGGTACAAAGAGAGGGAGAATTAGAAACAACGCGTCTCGAGCCCAAGTGGTCCGTAGGGGAATCTTTTTATTATTATTGTGAATATTTTCTCTTATCTTCTTTTTCCTGTTTATTTTTTGTATTTTATTTTTATTATTTTGGTTCCTCCCTCCCTCCCTCGTTGCCCCACGAACTGCGAAACAAAAATTTGACCGATCGGAAGAAGGAGAAAAAAAATGGTGAAGGAGACAGAGTATTACGATGTTCTTGGAGTGAGCCCAACGGCTACCGAGGCCGATATCAAGAAAGCTTATTCCATGAAGGTAATCTTCACTTGCCTCTTCATCTTTCTAGTTTGATTGTTCACAGAAGCTGATAGAGAATTGTTAGCTCTAAATTTGATTAGGGATGATTAGAATTTTTATGCTTATTTCAGTTGCTTGTTCCTCAATTGGTTCTACACTAATCATAGTAGATCCATCCATATTCTCTTTTATGAATCATTTTGCATATGAACACTTACTGCATTAACAAATATGCAAATTTTATTTAATTAAAACTTTTGTGTTGCTTGCAGGCAATGCAGGTTCATCCGGATAAAAACCCAAATGATCCTCTTGCAGCACAGAATTTTCAGGTAAAACTATTTACTGGTCATCAAATTATCAATTATGTCAACTACAATGTATTTCTAACATCAAGACATATATGTATGAGGAGCTCATCCATATATTGGGATTTATTGAGATCTAATTGGAATTTGGTATCTAATTGGAATTAGGGTGTCTGAGTTTTATTGAGAATTTGGTAGGAAGATATAGATATTTACATGACACATATATGGTTGCCAATGTTCATTGATGCGAGAAGGATACATTTGTTACTTGTTCAATGAGGGGTCGAAGAAGCATATTTGATTTACTACATATAAAGGACCCCCTTGTTTGTGCTTGCTAAATTTAAAAGGTAACTTTGATTCTTTTGTAATATTCTTGGATTGAGGTAAGTTTTATTGGGTTTGGAGTGGTTGCTTTGGTTGCATATGCACTAATTGTGGTAATGAATTGTAAAAGTTTGCTTCTTTTATGATTGTTTTTATTTTGCAAATATTCTGTTTGTATTTTGCTTGCCTTTAAGTTGTCTGTTATTCCCTTATGAAGGTGAACAGTCATTATCTTTGGTTCTAGGTCTGTATTCAGAAGTAGAATGTGTGTGATTTGTGCAGGAAACCACACCATTAGCTGGTTCCTCTGCAGGTGCCATTGTCTGTGCTGTGATTGCCTCTGGAGCCAGCATGGAAGAGGCCTTACAAGCTACCAAAATACTGGCTGAAGATTGCCGGAACAGAGGGACTGCATTTCGACTTGGGGTATTTCCTTACTCTCATATCTCAACTCAGTAGTAGTGCATTTTCTTCAGTTGCAGACTTGTGATGCTTCTCAATCAAGTAAATTTAATTTCTTTATTTTTGAGGGTATCAGTGAACTTAAAGAAAAGATTATCCCTAATTGCAGCTATATGTCAGAAGCTCATCCTGATAATCTTGATGATGAAGTTCATTGATTTCATTTTTCTGAATTCATATTGAGATTAAGCATCGCGTTCATACTTTCATTGCCATTTGAATGATGAGCCATTACACATACATATGTTGTGTCTTACAATTGGCTACATATATGCCTGACAGTCAGCAAAAGAGCTAGGGAAGAAAGCATTATATTTGGGAGTCTCATTTATTGCAGAGTGGTTTAGAAATTAAGGGCGTTTCATTAAATCCCAAGTAACAGCAGCAACAGGTTAGTAGATCTTTCCGGATTAAATATCGCCAGTCATGTCCTAAGTCTATGTTCTCATGGTGACTGTAATTGTTGGCTCCAATGATTAATTGACCTATGGGCCTAACCAGGGTTATGGGGGCTGATCCGTCCCACAGTATAGGATTGCATCGTAGATTGAACCAAAACTACAATATGGAAAGAACGTGCTGGTTGCTGCCCATGGGAATTCGTTAAGGTCTATAATCATGTATCTTGAGAGATTAACATATCTTATGCAAATTTAGTACCTTGCACTTTTAAAGCTTATGTTCATATTTCTGTTGTTTGTGTCTACATTTTACATGTTTTTTTTTTTTTTTTTTTTTTTTTTTTTTTTCAGTATAGAGCTAGACGGGACACGTACACCCAAATGGAATTGGATGAGGTGCGAGAAGAACCTGCGACTCAAGTCCTATAATGGCTTTTTGATTGAACTAAACATTCCTCCATTTTTCATGCCTTTCTAGCTAGTATTTTGCATATATATATATAGACAAGTAAAGTATGGATAATTTGTGGTGTGAGGTTGGAAAAATTGTGATTTGGGTGTGATAAGTATGGATCTTTCAAGTATTTTGCTTATATATATGCAGACAAGTATGGATATATTTAAATTACTGTTTATATATATGTATTTTTATGAGCAATGGCAACGCAAGATGATTTGGAAATGATGTCTTTTTGATATTCTAAGACAATAACCAAGTAAAGTGTGACATGGAACATGCAAAATGGCTACACTTTTCTTACATAAGTGATGCCTATTATTTATAACAACTTCAGTTTTGCAAAAATAACTGAAGTTAAAAGATTAAAACAACAATCAGATATTTATGATCACTGATGCCTAAAATTAGAAGTAGCATCAACATTTACATAACAACCAACGCTATTGGAGGCTTTTCATGTATGCAAAATAGGAAAAGTGATGATGTATAACATAATTTGCAACAGCACTATTTGTTTCTGCGATGTTTTAATTGATAATACGCATCAGTATAGGATATATTATCGATGCTATAAAACCTCTTTAGCCTCCTCCTTTTTGAAATAACTTATGTTGTTTTAGGTTTAGGTGTCGGAAGTCAACGTTTTTTGGCACACGGAAAGCCTTTATGCATTGGAGTTTACTAAATATCCGATGTTGTAAGTATAAAAAGGTCACGGATAATATCCATTGCCTATTACAAGCTTGAATACCACACTATTTTGGGGGAATAGGCAACGGATTTTATATGTTGCTAAAGGCCTTTTTTGCATAGTGTTTTTATACTTTCCATCTAGTTTTTATTTTATTTTAAATCCATTGAGGTTCGATTGTTTTGTTGTTTGTAAATAATATGATAATGCTTGATACAATTCTTTAGATCATGCAAATCCTTTAATTGGGAAAATTGTCTTCATCTCTCTCTTTCTTCCCGGGAACAAACAACAGAGAATCGTGCAGACACTCAAATGATATAGATCCCCACGGATATTTGTTGAATTCATCCATTTTATGAACCAAATGTAATTAGTCCTCATTTATCTTTACATTTTGAGGTTTACACATTATCACACACTCCACAAAATACAGTAGTCCCAATTTGAACGAGTCCTCGCTTCCTTTTTCGGACTTTAGGAATGCATTTTCTACGTCCTGGCAAGTAATGTGACTCATGTTGGTAAAATGCGCTTTCATAAATCGCTTATGATCTTCCCCGGCAGACGTTATGTCAGGCTCTCTTCCACATTTCAGACCACTTATCAAACAAAAATCCTTTACACTGAATTGAGCAACGTTGGATCCTATTGCATAACTAAGACCCATCATGTCCTTCACACCAAGTCCTCCGACTTGCCGGAGTGCCAGACCATGCACAATTTGACCACTAAATACAATTTTATGGAGTCCCAACAGGTGCCCAAAACAGCTCTCTCTAAATCTTTTCATAACCTACTCACTGAAATGCGCTCCAAAATTACACAGGACTGTTTGCGCAACACACAGATTATTCACCCGCGTAAAATAGACCCTGCAAAAGACACCTTTTGCTTAAGAAACAGAACTGATACGTACTCACAATATTATGACCACATTAACATACAGAAGTGATGCCTACTCACAATATTATCTACACATTTTCAAACCTACAAACACTATTTTCAACACATTACATAATTGATACCTACTAACAGAATTTTCAACATATCATGTTACAAAACTGATACTCTATTTTCAACACATTAAGATACATAATTTCACCTACAAATACTAATTTCAACAAATTCAGATATAGAATTGATACCTACTACAAGATGCATTGATCCTTATGCATCCCAAATCATCTCATATTCAGAGTTAAGATTCAATTTTCTCTTATGCGTTCTACTTCTACTGGTACTTATTATTATTTGTTTTCCACACCCCATTAAATCCCTAAAATTATGCCCTACACTCACACCACTACATGGCCAAAGCAGGATTACAATGAGGAACAGATGAAGATTCCTCGAATTTTACGAAACCACAACAAACAACCAGAATGCAAACAAAAATACGAAGTACAAAACACAACACAAATTACTTTTGCCAATTTATATTTTTCCAACACATCCGTACAGAGACAGACTACTCTTACCTAGAAAATCAAAGCCCTCAAATCCTCCCTAAAATCCTAAAGCAATTTAAATTAAGTGAATGCAATATAACATGCAAACTTTAATATCAAAGAGAGAGAGGGAATTCAACAGGAACGTACCGATTCAGACGTTCAGTTGAGAATTACTAGATGACGGAGGTTCTGCGACAACAGAAGAGCAAGTCAAACAGAAACAGTACACCAGGGAGTTTCTGTGAGAAGAGATGAGGAATACAGAACTTGATGTCTGGTAGGTATTTGGGTGTTATGACTAGGGTTCATTCATAACTCCATTGACAAGAAAGGCACCATTTTTTCGAACTAGGTGCGACTTGACACCTCTGCTATGGGGGAACTGTAGCCTACCCGTATGCACCGTAAGCTTGCTTTTTCTCTTCAACCATTCAGATGCATTTCAACGGCTGCGATTGATTCTTATATAATGTTCTCACATAAGTGTTCTCACCTGATCCAGATGGCCCAATTAATGAGGGAGAGGATGTACATCACTTTCTCTACGGTTGACATGGACAATCTAGCTTGTATGGACATCTTTTAGTCAACATGGCATCTTGCCATTGGCGTGTAAATATTTGTTTCTACACCTTCAATTTTGTTGTCTAGTAGCATAAGTACTATGTAGTACTTATACTAAATATTTTCTAGTTTTTTACTTGAATTCATTTTAACTCCTACTTCAATAGGGTTATAGGTCAAACACTCCTAGTGTTGATCAAATCGGATAAAAAAATTTCCTCGACCAATTTCATGTCATGTTATAGTAGCCTATTTTTGTTTTGTTTTGTTATTTTAATTTTTTGTAACAACTTGACTTTTGAACTACTATTTCAAATCGGATAATATATATATCAAAATTCATCATGCGAAGTAATTTCAATATATGCGTTTCACTACTTAATTAAATAATCATGTTGTTATACAAAAACATTGCTAATAACAACAAACTTATTTACCATGTGTATAATCCATTGCCAATCTATTGTAACTTAAACAAGTTGAAGAAACTGTTGTTTTTAATATCGATAGGAATTAAATTGTTAATGTATTTTTGAGGTGCTAGGGCGTTTTCATATTCCAAATAACTCGGTACCTTGCGAGAAATCTTATAAATAAAGAAACACTTCAACCACAACTCCATCCAAGAGTTCTTTCCATAAAGTAAAAACTAACTAGGGACTATACCCACTATGGCCACACTAAATATGTATCCATTGTTGGTCATTTTGCTTTTGGCGAGTCCATATGGAATGATTTTCACAGGTTTTGGAATTCCAATATCAAAGGCATCAAATTCGAAGACCTTGGAAGAATGTGAAAACAATATCTCCATTCATTGCGCTCGGGAAGTTGGCAAAAGTATTTTTGAAGGTGGGACTGTAACTGATGGTTGTTGTTATGCTCTTGTCTCTTTAGGCAAAACGTGTCATGATCTATTCTTTCATTATTCTCTTGCGCACAAATCAAATGTCAACAAATCCAGGGCTTTGGCAAAGAGTACACAAGTTTGGAATCAATGTAATGAAATTACAATTTCCCCTACCTCGTATGCCTTTTAACTGGAGAATTAAACTGATCATACAATATGTATGAGATAAATGCTATGAGATTGTAACATTTTCATTTAATTCATGTATACACAAAAATAAATAAAAGAAGTGATTTCAATATGTGCCTTCGCTACTAGTTCAATTTTCATGGTTAGTTAATGATATTAAAGAATTAAAAACTCCCTGTGTCAACCAATTATCTATTCCGTTGTTATTTTTTGTCAACATTAACCACCATGTGTCGCAATAGATAATCACAACATGGCCACCACCAACTTGATCACCATAGGCCACGTATAATACATTGGACTTTATTAATATTGCAAGCAATTATGGATTGACAATGTAATGTAACTTAACCAAGTTGAAGAAACTCTTGTTTTTAATATCGATAGTAATTAAATTGTTAATATATTTATAAGGTGCTAGGACGTTTTCATATTCCAAATAACTTGGCCTGTTACGAGAAATCTTATAAACAAAGAAACACTTCAACCACAACTTCATCTAAGAGTTCTTTCCATTTCCTTGAGAAAGTTAAATCTAATTAGGGACTATACAAGGCACTATGGCTGCACTAAATATGTATCCATTGTTGGTCATTTTGCTTTTCACAAGTCCATATGGAAATATTTTCACAGGTTTCCGAATTCCATCCACAAAGGCATCAAATTCAAATACCTTGGAATAATGTGAAAATAATATCTCCATTCAGTGCACTCGGGAAGTTGGCAAAAATATTTTTGAAGGTGAGACTGTAACTGATGGTTGTTGCCATGCCCTTGTTTCGTATTAGGCAAAACATGTCATGATCTATTCTTCCACTATGCTTTTGCATCCACATCCAATGTCGACAAATCTAGAGCCTTGGCAAAGAGTATACAAGTTTGGAATCGTTGTAATGACCTTACAATTTCCCCTACCTCTTCTGTCGTTTAATCGAAGAACTAAATTGATCATAAATTATGTATGAGATTTATGCTATGAGATTGTAACATTTTAACTTAATTCATGTTTGAAAAAAAAAATGAGATTTTAATATGTGCATTTGCTGCTAGTTCAATTTTCTAGTCAGTTAATCAAACTAGTTGAAAAATTAAAAAGCAGACTACTTACCAACTCTCTACGTCAAGAATCTAAGAATCTAAAGGGCTTGGGCCACATAGGCCCACGATCCCGTAGTGCCTAGCAAGGCCACTAGCCTAGTGGTCAGACTATAATGAGTGGAAAGTTATAAGTGGTAAGTTATAAGGGGTTCACTTTATAGCCATCAAATCAATCCAAGGGCTGAACTCGTTATGCTACAATCGGGTTGCAATTACCCGTTTTGAAAACAACTTCGTCAAGTGAGAGGAACGTTTCTCCCAGAGCGTGAAATCTCAAACAAATCATTCTTACACTCTGTCCTTCCTGCCCACTTTTCCC